AATATTATTGTTTCGCCTTGTTAAATGCAAAATATATGTGTGGTTTTACTAGGCAATTTTATATTAAGTATGTATGTGACGTTTTTGCTAGGCAATTTTTCATTCGGTATGTTTGTGTGGTTTAACGAGGTAATTTTACATTGAGTTTATTTGTGTGGTTTTAGGAGGTCATTTTGCATTGGGTATAATTGATTCTTGACAGTCTTGTTGCATGACATGGAGGTGTGTCAGCAAACGAACTAATAGATACTGCAGGCGATAGCAGATTGTGGAGAGGCATAATCGCCCACGCCAGCCGGCAAGGCACCTGCTGATGTTGATGATAATTATGCGGTTTTAGGAGGCAAATTAACATTTAGTAGGTTTGTGTTATTTTAGGAGGCAAGTTTGTTTGTGAGGTTTCACAAGGCAATTTTACTTTGAGTATGTTGCCATTAATTTGTGAGCATTGCAGGGAAAGCCTGGAGCTAAGTGTATGTTTTTTTTTTGTTATAGGGCGGTGCAAGTCTGTGTAATAACTCAGTGTTTGGCAGCGACTGTGACATCAATTTCCGGTTGTCTGGTCAAGTAGGAACATTTTATTTCCTCGGCTTAGGAAGGGGAAAATGAAAGGGAGGAAATGGGTGGGCGTGGATGGAGGGGGGGGGGGAGAGCCTATTTGCTTCTTATTTTCTAGTTCTTCTCCCTCCTTATTTTCGTCCGCCTTTTCCTCTCTTAATTAATCATCTTTTGTTGTTGTTGTTCTTCTTCTCCTTCTTCTTCTTCTTCTTCTTCTTCTTCTTCTTCTTCTTCTTCTTCTTCTTCTTCTTCTTCTTCTTCTTCTTCTTCTTCTTCTTCTTCTTCTTCTTCTTCTTCTTCTTCTTCTTCTTCTTCTTCTTCTTCTTCTTCTTCTTCTTCTTCTTCTTCTTCTTCTTCCTTCTTCTTCTTCTTCTTCTTCTTCTTCTTCTTCTTCTTCTTCTTCTTCTTCTTCTTCTTCTTCTTCTTCTTCTTCTTCTTCTTCTTCTTCTTCTTCTTCTTCTTCTTCTTCTTCTTCTTCTTCTTCTTCTTCTTCTTCTTATTCTTATTCTTCTTCTTCTTCTTCTTCTTCTTCTTCTTCTTCTTCTTCTTCTTCTTCTTCTTCTTCTTCTTCTTCTTCTTCTTCTTCTTCTTCTTCTTCTTCTTCTTCTTCTTCTTCTTCTTCTTCTTCTTCTTCTTCTTCTTATTCTTCCTCTGATCTTTTCTTTCCCCTACCTCCACATCGATATCAGCCTTTTCCTCTACATCTGTGAATTTCAATCATCCTCCGTGTGGGTTCCGGGGCCCCATTGTGGGGAAAACAAGAATAGACCCACTGCCTCCCCAAAAGCATGTCGTAAGAGTCGACTAATTGGGGAGCTTCCTTTGAAGTCGGAGTGCATCTGCCAGAGAGGCAAGGAACCAACAGTCTGTATTTAAGAGAATGAGATCTGTAAAACTGATGCACACGCAACACTCAGGTTCTCGAGCAGGACTGCAGTTCAGTAATGGACGAGAAACCAGAACTTTCCGCCAGAGTTTACAGCTGGTGAACGCGAAGAAGAAGAAAGAACAATTCCAATCAATACGTCACTTTGTTTATTGTGCTCTACTTTTGATTTCCCTGGAATCGTTTTCTTTTTTGTAGTGTTTTTTTTTTTTTTTTAAAGTTTTTTTTTTTTTTTTTCTATAGAATGCAATCTATAGCATCATCGTGTCCCATTATTTCATCTAAATACAAGTTTCATTCACATTCCGTTCGAACATATCTTCAAATCGAGATCCCCCGTCCTTTTTAGGACGAAATTTTTCGTTTTTTGAATCCCCACCCTGGCTCTTGCCGAGGGCAGCAATATAGCCAGGCCATAAATATGGCCTAATGGCTGAACGCGGTTTCTGGGACCTCTCCACGGTGATCCTCGTCCACATGGTGGCACACTGTGTCAACGGGTGTTTATCGCTTGTGTGATGTCCTGGTGGGTTAGAAAGTCAGTCAGTCTCTTCAAAGTTGACTTGCTTTGCTGAAAAAGAAAAGAACAATTTCGCTACTCTGATGTGTTTGGTCTTTGACTAGTATTCATAATTTTTCCCCATCTGGGGATTTGAGGCTAAATCCTCTGGTATTCGAAGAGTTAATTTATTGTAGTGACCGGCCTCGGAATAATCAATGCATCGGTAATTCTTCCCGGGGGAGAATAAGGGTTCATAAGAATGATCCCATTCGCAGTGTCAATGTCTACATACCGGAACGTTGCATCCTTAATGTCGACACGACCAAAAGACCAGGGAGTGTGCATGTGAACGAACCACCCTCAGTTCGAAGGGGGAATGAAGTGCTTTGGCTTTAAATCTCCACTTGTGACAGCGTTATGATATAGGTGTGCTTTTGGTTTAAGGGCTTTTGACTGAAGAAGTGACGGGCGTTCCCTTGCTTGACAACACTTGCATAGACTAATCTCACACTGAACCTGTCATTTGTCAGTCGAGCCTTAAGCGTTTTAGATGTCACTTGAGGAGCGGAGCATACAGGAGTAGGAGACGTTGACTGTTTTTGGGATTATCGGTTGTCGTTGTTGGTGTGAAGCGGGTGTGCCGACACAAAGACAGAATGGGTATAAATGACTCCCCTCCAACCCCCTTCCATCCCAACAACCATCTGCATTTCAAACTGTTTGGGTAAAGGTAAAAGTTGGAGGATCGACTTCATTGCACCGGATTTTATCCACAATGGCTTGGTCTCTCTAGCTAGCTGCCTGCTGAGAGCGTCGCCCACAGCTCTGGCGACGATCCTCGCGGATTGTAAAAATTGCACTCGTGAACTGTATGGCGCTGTCGTAAATTGAACCAATGACCTTCAAAACGCGAGGCATACGGCTCAACCACTTCGCCACTAGCCCGCCCACCACACTCCTCCCCCCCCCCCGGTTCTCTACACCCCCCCCCCCCCAATCATTTTGTAACGGGGCTAATTTGCCAATGTTAACTATTCACAGAAATCAAAATGTTAAACTAATCTATCGGTATACTTAAAATAATATTAAGTATATAAATAGATACCTTTACAGATCATTTATTTGGGGAGGGGGTTGCCTCACAGAGCCTGAACCCTAGATTCTGGCGCCTGTAGTGTAATGAGCTGAGTTGAGTTAATAATTGACATCACAGCACTCGGGGCATTCCCATGTATGCTCCTTCCTCATCTTCAGCAGCCAGCGCAGAGTTCCAATACTGATGGTATCGGTCACAATTTGGTTAAAAGTCCGTCTTGCCTTTCCTCTGTGAGTGTAGTGAGCCGGCCAGACTCTCTGATTACACCCACATCACGGCATTCGGGGCGCCTATAGTGTAATGAGATATTTAAATAAAGCACGTCTTTGATAACAATAGGCCAGGATTATTTCCACGCACGCATGCAGAAACAGAATTAATTTGGCCACTTAAAACAAACACGCCAGGGTTTTAGAAAAAAAAAAGGGGGGGGGGGGGGTGGAGGGACAGTACTAGAAGATTTGTTTCCTGGAAATAGAATTAAAGCAGTAAGAAATAAACGAATGATACACTTTGGGACATCTCTAGTTTCTGTCAATACTGGAAGCTGGGATACACAAACTTACACACAGGGAGGGGGCCCTTAGCAAGCAGTTTTACGTGCACAACTAAAAGAGATGAAGCCTCATTACAGGTTTTCGAAAATAGAGTCTTACGACGAATCTTTGGACCCATCAAAGGTGCAAACAGCGGGGAATGGAGAGTGAGAAGCAACAACGAAATTCATAATCTGTTTAAATCACCACTGATAACTGGCATCATAACATCTAATTGACTGAAATGGTTGGGGCATATTGAGAGAATGTCAGATGACAGAGAAGTAAAAACTGTATACACGAGGGAGATGAATGGTCGTAGACCGCGAGGGAGACCAAGAAGATAGAGAGATAATGTCCAGACAGACATGCAAACACTTGGACTCACCAACTGGAAAGAGAAGGCCAGATAGAGAGATGAATAGAGGCGGGGGATATCAGCAGCAATGAACCTCAAGGACTCGGAATGCTGAAGAAGAAGAAGAAGAAGAAGAAGAAGAAGAAGAAGAAGAAGAAGAAGAAGAAGAAGAAGAAGAAGAAGAAGAAGAAGAAGAAGAAGAAGAAGAAGAAGAAGAAGAAGAAGAAGAAGAAGAAGATATAACTGATATAACAATGGCTCTCTACATTTAAATAAGCTACCATCAACGTATGTGGCTTAATGGTCACGCCTGCAGTTTCATAATTCCGACCCACAGGATTCGGTTCAGCTGCAGAAGATTTAGCCGCGTACTGCAGGATTTTGACAATAGTATAAACGTCGACCATTTAGGTGTATACTACTTCTTCTTCTTTTTCTTCTTCTTCTTCTTCTTCTTCTTCTTCTTCTTCTTCTTCTTCTTCTTCTTCTTCTTCTTCTTCTTCTTCTTCTTTTTCTTCTTCTTCTTCTTCTTCTTCTTCTTCTTCTTCTTCTTCTTCTTCTTCTTCTTCTTTTTCTTCTTCTTCTTCTTCTTCTTCTTCTTCTTCTTTTCTTCTTCTTCTTCTTCTTCTTCTTCTTCTTCTTCTTCTTCTTCTTCTTCTTCTTCTTCTTCTTCTTCTTCTTCTTCTTCTTCTTCTTCTTCTTCTTCTTCTTTCTTCTTCTTCTTCTTCTTCTTCTTCTTCTTCTTCTTCTTCTTCTTCTTCTTCTTCTTCTTCTTCTTCTTCTTCTTCTTCTTCTTCTTCTTCTTCTTCTTCTTCTTCTTCTTCTTCTTCTTCTTCTTCTTCTTCTTCTTCTTCTTCTTCTTCTTCTTCTTCTTCTTCTTCTTCGTTAAATCAGTTCCGTATTACGATAGATCTGTAATTTTATAAAACAATCGGTTCATGATGGGTGATATAATCAACATCACGCCGACCGCTTTTGCTTCCTATGGTAATTTATTTAGCCTAGTCTTGAATCGGACCCAGTCTCTACCGTGTTCCTCTACTTGCAGGCAGACTAGCGGGATAATGGCATCATGCACTAAATCCAGAGGCTGTTTTCAAAGCATTGTGGTCTTCATTCTGGGCTTATACTGTGGCCATGAAATGTGGAACCGAGTTCGTCCATCAGTAGACACCAACTACAGAACATGTCAAACGGCATCCTTCAACAAACCTGAGTTTATCCGCAAGAGGTTAGCTTCACCTGGGATCAGAACTGAACCTCCTGGTAAAGACATCAGTAACACGTATGAAGTTGCCTCCACGGAAGATGATACTGAGGACAACTTCCTGTTTGTGGGGATCATGACTGCCAGAAAGTTCCTGGAGTCGCGGGCGTTTGCCAGCAGTCAGACCTGGGTGCCCAGAGTTCCTGGCAAAGTCTACTACTTCCTGGGGGAAGGAGAAAATTATACTGGTAAGTTGTTAGTGCTACACCGGTATTTCATTACGATTGCACGGTAATTTTCTTTCTCTAGCCATAATGCAGGTTTGCTAGAAAGATTATACTGTTAAGTTGTTAAAACTTATGATTTCTCTTCATGTTAGTAGTATACCAATGCGTTATTAGTATTAAACTGATGTGTTGTACCACTTACAGATCTGACATTCCATCGAAGCGATTATTCGCATTCCGGATGTCAGTCTAACAGGATAAAATCCAGATACCACTTTCAACCACCTGAGAGATTAAATGGGGTACAGTAACTTGTATACCATTTGATACTTTATTTAGACCGGTTCGATGTTGCACACCGGTGCGCTCGGTGCGTGCTTCTGGCATGTTGTAAAATGACAAATAACAGCCCTGAAAATGTAAATAAGTGAGAATGGCCTCAATTGCACTAGGGGATACTGGGCGGTGTGACAAGCTAAAAGCCGAGATAGCCAGTTCCTATCGTGGTCACTTTTCTCACAAATTATCAATGAAAAGTATCGAGCCGAACGAAACGTAGATTCACAATATAACAAACACAAACGAAAAATGAACGTTGCGGCTACAAAGAATTATTCAGCACATACATAAATCAAACAAAACCACACGTATGCACAAAATCACTTATCTGACGAACCCCGAAGCAGCCACTTTTCTGTGTTGCCAGTGAAATGAAGAGACACGTGTGGTCCAAGACTAAATAGACTGGGAATGTCAAGGGTGGTAACTCGACAATTTTAGTTAGAACTGTTGACAGTTCAGTCCTCTAGGTGTTACTAGGTGTAACATGTAGAAAGACAGCTGGCTCTGCACAACTTGGTGGAATACTGATACATGATAGGGCAGACGTGGTTAGTGCCTTGTGGGAGAGCGTGTACAGTTCAGGGAAGCAGAGGGATCGCCACGGTCAGGTGAGATTAATGCAAGGGGGAGTGACGAGAGGTTCTGGCAGATGCCCGATGCTCAGAAGAAAAGCAAGACGGACGTTTAATCAGAATGGAACTGGCATTAAGATGGGGGACGGAGCGCTTATGGGAATGCCCCGAGTGCTGTGATGTCAGTTCTTGAATCAAATCAAAGCAAATCAAAATTCTCTAGGTGTTTGGATCCCCAATGTAAAAATGAAATTATTATCAAAAGACTTGTCGACGGAGTGGCTAGATTTAAATGCTGTCACCTCCAGGTCGTGGGCATCGTGGTGATCATGAGAGAGAACTGAACTGCAATTGAAGTGCAACGGTACTGATTTCAGGGCACCGTTCTGCACATCCAAAAGATATTGTCTGAATCTGTCAGCCAGTCGTAGACCCGTTCCATCGATGTATTTCATACCACATCTTTTGAAGTTTATGGCGAAAATGACATTGCGGCTGGTGCAATAGAATGCCTCACATGTGTGGAAGTGGCATTCGGAGATTCAGACTTTTACAAATTACCAAAGCATTATCAGACTCCTCCCCCGTGTGTTCCTAGGCTTTATTTGAGGCGGGGAAAATTCGGGGGGGGGGGGTGAAACCATTGCCCCCACCACGCAAAAGAGGATAATTATGGGGTTCTGATCTGCCTGAGATGCAAAGAACCAAATGTTTGCATACAAATCAGCTAGACCTGTAAGACGGATGTGCGCATGAAACTCAAAGTTATGAAACAAGACTAAAATCCAGAAGCGCTCGAACGTGGCAAACTAGTGCTCTAACGACTGTGCCATGGTAACTTTTTCTGTTAACAGGCATCTTCAAATCGAACTGTTGTATCCTGAACATTAACTGGTCCTGTCGAAGGTTCTCAGGTCGTTCTTTGTGTTGTCGGCCAGCTGCATTAGATAACCCTGCTAGTGTAAATCTTTGTGTTTAGTTTCCCAAGTCACCCGCATTTCCCAGTATGATCCTCATTTCACCAGCTGTAAACGCCGGTGGAAAGTTCTGGTTGTTCGTCCACTTTTGGACTTTGGCCTTTTTCCTAAGCTTGAGTATTGTCGAGCACATCCGTTTTACAGATTTGGTTTATGTGTATGCAGACTTTTGGTTCCTCGCCACTCAGGCAGATGCACTTCTATTTCGAAGGATCTTGTATGATGATAAACATAAACAATGTGAGGATTGCCAGATGGAACTAAAAAAAATATTTAGTGGGTTTAAAGATGTAGGGATGGATTGCAACGGTCTATCTCCACAGAGCAGCATGTCGCTAGTCAAAAGCGTCGCAAATAGAACTATCTAACTCCAGCAACAACATACGTGAATCTCCGAAATACCTGCTCTGGTAAACCGAACGCTTGAGTCAAAACCCAGTCAAACGACGTAATCACCTCGCTAGGTAAACCCGGAGGATTGCATGAACAATGAAGCCATTTACAATTTATCACCACGACTCCATTTGTTCGGTTACAATTAACTAATGCATTATTTCCCCTATCTTGTTTATTGCAAATTGCCTATAGTTGTCCCCATGTGGGATGCAATTTTTTGTTTGAAGCCCTACCCTGGCTTCTGCCGGGGGCCCTGAATATAGCCGGTGCATAGATATGGCCTAGCCATAGCTTCGGCCTAGCGACTGAAAGGGGTATCTGGGACATCTCCACGGGTGATCCTCATCCGCACGGTGGTACCCTGTGTCACCGGGTGTTTATCGCTTGTGTGATGTCCTGGTGGGGTACAACTACTTACCTACCTTTCTTGTTTCTAAGGTCCACTAAATGTGATACAGCTGAAAGGAGTTAAGGAGAACGACTATCCGCCACAAAAGAAATCTTTCGCCATGGTCGAGTACATGAGCCAGCATTTTGCGAAACACTACAAGGTGAGTTTTTATAAACAGCAGCCTGTCCCGAAATCTGGGGGTATTTTGACCATGTTAAACATCAATGGGGACCTAGGGTTAACAGTGACGGAAAGTACATTTTCTGGAAAACAATGCAGAGGGAGACCTCCGAGAGTGTGGATACGAGACATTGAAGACGAATTGGCTAAGAAAGCACATAGGGCTGGAGAAGTGTCCACAGACAGACTTTTAGGGGTGCAACAACGAGAGCGACGTTCTTTAAAAGACCTTCTTTATTAATATCCTACCCCAAACAAGGGAAATCCAATAGAGCATGCAGTCGCGGGACCTAGGCTGCAAGTAGTCGTGGGACCTAGGCTGCACTCTCTCGTGGGACGTAGGTGGGTTGGGGTTAGGGCCAGTTTGAGATGTTTTGGGGTCGTTAAAAGCATTCGAAAGCCGAGAAATCCAGTCTTTCCACCCTCTAAAATGTTGTTCTCTCCTCTAAAGTCATCTGGGGTAGGATATTAATAAAGAACCAAAAGAGCTGCTGATTAATAAAGATGATAACGTGACTTTCTCCTTCTGTTAACTGGTCTGTTATGTATAAAGGATCTTTATAAAAGAATTACGGCTCTAAGGTCGACCCAGCCTCATATCGGTACCAGGACATACTCTTGGTAATGAATGAGTCAGTGGGTGATGTTAAATTCCAGCAGTACAGCACACTGGGAGATTAACACCCAGTGATGCAGTGTTCAAAGTGTCACTAGTGGGATGAGAATCCCACAGGTACAAATATCAGAAACCAGCTTCAACCGTAAGGTTATACTAGGATCCCTGCTGGTTTCAAAGCTCGAACAGGGTAGTGTTTTATATCTTGGTAATAAGGGAAGTTTAAACAAAATTACCTGCTTTCCCGCCTTTAGGCGTACTGGGTATGTAAGGCAGTCGATAGGAGACTCGCTTTCAAATCCAGCTGCGACTCGCTGCAGCCCACGACCGGTGATCGAAACCGGACGGTTCCCGGGGTTCATCCAGCCTCTAGGAAATGGGTACCAGAGGTAACACTCTAGGGTAAATGGAGGAACGTCGCTGTAGTTACGGAGTTACGTGCGGACGGCGACACAGGCGGAGTTTCTTATCAGCTGTCCGTACTGGTGGCAGAAAGCTTATGGTTTATAACTGTGTGTAATTAGACCCGATTTTACTTTTACCTCTACTGGGTATGTAGGGTTAGACCCACATTTTATAGACCAATCGGCACTTGGAGGGTGATGTGGTCAACTTCACTCCGGTCGCCTTTACATCCCATGACTATACCTCATACCCATTCAAGGTTGGGTCGACAGCGTCTAACCACTATACCACGGTGTCTCTTGTGGTAATATGTGAAGGTAAGATACTGACCACATCACCCACCGAGTAACCAGTTGGTCTAATACATTAAAGCCGATATCTATTAAGACTTTAAAAAAATTGCAGGAGTACCTCTGAATTTGAACGCTTCAAAATTCAAACAACTTGGAATCTTGACGGAATTTTCAAGTAAATTGTGCCCTGGAACTTGAAAGCCAGCTTGGGAACCCGAACGCGCTACAACACTGCACTGTCTATGCTTCAGTTTGCTTTCCCACGCTGTGCATGACTCGACACCTCATACGATTTTCGCAGCTAATTTTATGAAGACTATTCGTTTTTCTTTTCCTTTAAAAAAAATAATGAATCAGTTATGGTTGGTAAAAAGTGTAGCGTTTAAAACAAAGAATAAGAAAAGCTGTTATAACAGAATTTGCCATTTAAACAAAATCTTAACGCTAAGTATATACGTTGTATCTGTGTATTTGATATGCCCAAATGGACTGTTTGTACAATATTATTATTAATAACAATAATAATGACACAGCTATCAAAGCAGCTGATATGACGAAAGGGGTTACGATTCTGACAGCTAAGTGATTTGTTTTTATTTTTATTGGTGAAGTCATAAACTGTTTACCTAATGTTTTAAGTGAATTAGTTATGGTTGGTTAAAAATGTGTAAAGTCTGGACACACCGTATCCAAGAGCAACGTATTTCAAATCCTTCACACTTAAGACAATGGCAGAACACTAAGATTGATTGAAGCAGCAGCGATTTGTTACCTCCGCCCTGAACTCCTTAAACAAAAAGATATGGTTTTGACACTACGACTGCATTGGTAAAACATGCAGTTGCGTTTGATTGTTGTTGAATAGTAGTATGCACCAGATGAGATATAGCGAAATAAATATGTCAGGCAAAAAAATTTGCATCTATGGTTTGTGTCTTCTTTATTCAAATATACTTAAGTGTTTTTTTTCTCACATTTACACGACGACAAGTGGTTAATCCGGGCTGACGATGATGTATACATGAAAGTGGACGAACTGGTCAAGTTCTTGAAGTCGGTCAATGACAGTTACCCGCGATACATCGGCCAGCCAGGGTTTGGCAAAGCCGTGGAGGCGGGTGAGTGAAGTATTGCACACTCTCTGGCTAACTCTTGGCAGGAGAAATAAATTTATTGATTAAAAGTTTCAGGTTAATGGTGAGAGGATCCACTTTATTGCATTGGGTTTTAGCCCTGGGGCTCACTCTCTCCACAGAACGGCTAGCCGCCTGCTGAGAGTCAGAAAAAGGACGATCTCCGTAGCCCTGGCGACGATTCTCCTGGGATCTCCATAACAAATTGCACCTGTGAACCAAACGAAGTCACTGTGAAACCAAAACACCACGTTCAGAGAAACAAGCAAACGACGTGACCACTTCGCCACAAACCCCCGATTTTCATTAGTGCTCTCAGAATTAAAGGAAGATAGATAAGTGGATGGGAGGACAGTCAGCTGATGAACGGATGAATAGACAGTCTGACGGACGTGTTGGTTGGATTAATGAATGGTAGGACTGACGTAAAGACGAATGAATGGTCGCAAGTGGATGAACAGGTCGATTGATGGATAGATTGATGGACAGATATGCAGATGGTTAGACAGACAGATGGACGATAGACAGACAAACAGACAGACAGATATATATATATATATATATATATATATATATATATATATATATATATATATATAGAGAGAGAGAGAGAGAGAGAGAGAGAGAGAGAATAGACAGACAGACAGATAGATAGAGAGATCGCGTTACACAAGCGTATTTATTCGCAACTTGTCTTTTCTGCAGGAAAGCTGGGACTTGCAGGGGCTTTCTGCATGGGGGGTCCAGGGGTCATAATGACTCCAAAAGTAGTCATGGGCGTGGCACCGGGTCTGAAAGACTGTCTGGGACTGACGGTCACAGGACATGAGGACACAGAGCTAGGACGATGTATCACAATAAACACAGGAGTCCAGTGTACTACAGCGTTTGAGGTATGTATTTTGTCATGCTTGACAGGCATACTTGAAAAGTAGATGAATTGCTTGGTGTTCACAGCAAAAGAAAATGCATATCGCTTAGTGCAGCAAAACCTGATATCACAACGTCTAGTTTGAGTATGGAGGTGAAACCAGTCACTGCTGCCTTCTGCTGGCTTAAGAATCAGCTGTACTCACATGTCGTAATTGTAACTGACTCACACAGCATGTTGAGAAGGGTGGAGACAGGCGTGCTCTGTGCAGAGCGGCAAGCATCGTTTCAGAGGTCATGGATGGTTGGCGTCCTTTGGATATTTTCTCCAGGTCATGCGGGTGTGTTGGGAAATGAGCAAGCGGATAGGCTGGTTGGTTCTGCATTACTTGTTGATGAATTGATGTATGATAAGCTAGATGTTGTGAGGACCTTTTGAGAGCGAGTGAACAGTGCAGACATACAAATAGATCATAACAGTCTGAGCAGAGTGGCGCTGCGGGGAGTTACTTGGGGATATGACCAATGTTCAACAATCAAGGGAAAGGCGAGACAGATATACAATCAGTTAGTTACTGGTGCCATCAGCATTGGAACTCTTCGCTTGCTGCTGAAGATGGGGACAGAGCGCTTTTGGGAGTGTCACGAGTGCTGTGTTGTTGATTCTTAATTCAACATGCTTGACTGTTTGCTTTACTCACTTTGCCTGCATTGTTATATCTAATCGGGAACATAACATGCAATCGAATTTCCAGCTTCATTGCAAATGGGTCACCCCATAGCTGTTTCGTTCCTGTGCCAAAGAAAATCACACAGAATATCCATTAGTTCTTTACAGGGGAAAAAAAAATGACAGAGTCTGCAATGTCAGCAAAGCTAAAACCATACACACGCATTAAATGCGTAAGGCAGCCACCAGAAGCTGTCTGGAACTGTATATGCAGTTTATCGTCGATGGAGGCAGCAGTTAAAACAGATCAGTAGTTTCACACGCAATTAATCAATGAGGCACAACAG